AAACAGAATGAGCATGGGATTGTAAAGAAAGCCTTGAAACAGACATGAAGACAAATGGGAGTTAAATGCACCCTAAAAATGGTACTGGAAAGCGAACTGGTGGGAGATCTAGACAGCTTATTCCTGCTGCCTTCTTCACTATGTAGTAGAATTAAAACTGTTAAATGACTAATACATAAAAAATGAAGCAGCAAAACAATGGCTTAACAATTTTGAAGTGGAGAATAGGACATGGAATTCAATCATTGTTAAGTCTAGTGAATTGTTACTTCAAAAGTAAAAACTTTTATATGGCAAAATGAAACAAAAAACCCAGCAAAACCAAGCAAGCACAAGGAAACTCCACAGCACACAGAGCCACTAGAGACTACTCTTCCGTAGAGGGGCTGCTGCTCAGCGCAACTCACGTCAAGAGTGGGGCCTGACTGCTTCTGTTTTGCAGGAATCTTGTCCTCCCCACAGAGACCTGTTGACATGCTGGTCAGAGCAGTAAATCCATAGCATGCCCCTGATCAAAACCAACAGCACAGTCCCTGATCTAAAGTTCTAAATATCAGAGGCTGTGGAATGGCAGATTCCTCTCTTCTGACAGACCCACTCAAGTCAGGTTTTGCAGAATAGCGTGGGGACTTGACAGCTGACCAAGCGGCAGTAGGTTAGCCACCTCAAAGGAAGGGAGATTTGGGATGGCCTTGTTGTCAGGAAAGGCAGGTGACAGAAGGAAAGAAACTAGGACTTTGACATGGCTTAGTCACTGAGTTAAATTCACCCAGAACTACCTTTGGACTTCAGTCACTGAATCTGCATTTCTGGGTTTTTTTTGTTGTTGTTGTTATTTATGAAATAAAGTTATAACTACTAGAGAACATGAGCAGATGCAGAACAAGGACGGGAAAACATTTTCAATGCAAGTGACAGTTGAAATCTCCACTCAAAAGCTACAAACCAGCATGGAAAAGAAATGAGCCTAATAAAAGCAAGGCTGAGCACAACGACCAGCAACTACAGATACCCGTGCTCACTACAAATCTAAGGCTATAAATTAGAACAAAGGGAAATCATTCTCTTTTAACTTACAAGCTTAGCAAGAATGAAAAATGCTGATTTTACTTAGGACTAAGATGTACAGTGAAATATTCAGATCCCGTGGAAAGCATGAAATATGATTTTTTAAAATTCTGTTAATGGGAATCCGAAGCCCTCTTCTGACCTCCGTGGCACTGCACGACATGGGTGCACTCACATACATGCAGGCAATACACTCATACACATAAAATATAAAAATAATAAATAAAATATTTAATAAAAAATTCTATTAACATATATAACTCTGAACCAATCAATGCTACTTAAATTTTATGCTATAAAAATACCTAAGATTCAGACACATATCTTCCAAGTTTTTAAATAATAGTCACATGCTGGGAATATTCAGAATATTCATTAGTTCAAAAATGGCAAAATAAATGTGCGGTCCATACACACACACAGCGTGCCATGTGCGTTATAAGATGAAGAGACTCCGTTTTGCTAGTGAGATATTTAGATGCAGTAAAAGAGAAAATTGTAACACAATAGGCTATTATCATTATTCCTATGGGTCAGTGTATATATAAATATAAATATATATATATATATTCCAATACCTTGAAAGACTATCATCATAATGTTAATAGTCAGTATAGGAGATAGGATTAGGGATCAGTAGAGGAAGGTTTGATTTTGTTAGCTAACGCCACACAAAACACACAACACATACACACACACACACACACACACACACACACACACACACACACAAAAACCACAACAAAACCCCCAAACAACATCCTGACCATCAGGAACTAAACTGTAATTTGCTTTTCTCTCCCAATTCCTACTTCCAACCTGCTCCCAACTTAACTAGAGGGCAGCACATTTGCATGGAATTTCAAAACTGAAATGAAATGAACTTAAAGGCTGGTTTGTCAGTTATCCACTATATGCTGTAGTTCTAAACTATGTTAGTGGCAGACCATGTCTCCCACAGGACATACTATCCTCAGTCTCCTCCCCATCTTGTAGCTATCTCCATCACTGTGACTCACAGGTGGTGTGTGCTCATCTGCTGTTTACTGGGCTGGATGTTCAGGGGCTTCAGGTAGGAGTGGCAGTCCTGCCTTTGCAGAGTTCATTGTCTCAAAGACCACCACAAGTCCAAGGTAACTAGAAATGCCCAGTGTGAGCTCCTGCCTGTGTGACCCACCTGCCCACATGGCCTGCCTCTCTTGCAGATGCCACTGGATAGGCCCCTGTGCTCGTCCTCTGCTGTTACTCTCCTTCTGCCCTGTACCTGGAGCTTTACTATTTCCTTCACCTTGAACCAAAGGAAAACAGTAAGAAGTACTGACTGTATGTCCTTATTTGTCTCACTTTGCATCTGTCCCTGAGGTCCAGATCCCACACAGCCCTCCATTTTGCTCCCAAGTCTCTTTTAAAAATTGATTTTTAATTGAAATTTTGCAAATTTCATGCAATATATTTTGATCATATTTAGATCCCTTTCCATATCTGCACCCATCCTAATCTCCCCCAAACCAAGTCTACTATCTGAAAACTTTTTGGTTGCTCAGAACTGGTGACCTGTAAAACCTTAGTGGGTGTGGTCATGGGAGCCCTTCCAATGTCAGTGGAAGTGGCTTACCCAGCAGCTTTCTGGGAAAGGGGCTCATTAGGGAAGCAGGGCCTTCCTCCACCAACTTTAAAAATGGGTGCCCCACAGAATAGAAATAGAAAGCCATCCACCCAGCTTCACCTGAGCCTAGTAACAGAGAGGTGAGTGTGTGGAAGAACAAGAGCGAGTTGCAGCTAATTACCCTTCCAAGTAAATTCGAATGATGGAGATTGCGGGACCCATTTACAGGAGGGAATAGACCCATCATTGAGCCTAGAGAAAGGGAGGATTGTTCAGGGCCAGAAAAGCATCTCAACGTTCAGATTCCATTCCTTTTCTGGAGGTTTGGAGGGAGGAAGGTCATGGCTTTGGCTGGGAAGGTACACTTAGTAGACAGGGAGGGGCTGCTATCTTAGGTCAGTTCTGGGGCTGCAACTTGCTCCAGCCCAAGGGAACAAGCTTCATTCCTCTCTGGAAGCTGGTGTGGGCTGGTAAAAGAAGAGGTGCCCTGGAAGAGGCCCCCATTACCATCATAAGGGCTGATGTCAGACCCTACAAAGCAGCTGGGGCCTCAAATGCAGGGTAACCCTAACCCAGCAGCGATTGAAACAGATAGAGGGGGAACTCTCCCACACAATGCCAGGCCCTGGCCCCTTTCCTCCTCCTCTTTGCACTTCCTCAGGAGCCTTTGTCTTCTGGTCCCTTGGGCTTGGAGGCTCTCTCATTCTCCACAAATGCTGCCCATTAACCTCAGAATGAGGCCTCTAGGGAAAGGCCTAGCCCTTTCTCTCTCTGCCTCATCTCCCAGAAACCCTTCTCTCTCTGCCCTCCCCACTGAGCAGAAAAGATGCCCAGAAATGCAGAGATTTCTGGACCCCAAGCACTGTAACCTTTGAGCAGTGAAAGCAAGGCCAGTGGCTGTTCTGGTCTTTTGGGGTGACTTGCACCTTCTATTAAGCTCTTGAAAAAGGTGACAGTCTTGAAAATATGCCAGTACTCAGGGAGGCAAGGAGAGGAAGTGACAGCTCAGGGCATCTGGCATTCACTCATAGGGAGATCTTTTTCTCCAAAGGCATTTTGTTATTTACAGTATTTTAGTCATATCTCTTCCTAGACATTGACAAAAGCCATAAACCTGTTTTCCAGGAAAAAAAGGTGTGGGTGGATGAAAGTGTGTGTGTACATGTGTACACACAAGTGTACATACAGCATACTCCACATTTTAAGGAGTCTGGACCTCTGGGTCTGAACTTTGTGCTACCAGGAGGAAATATATCCTTGGCACCAAAGTGAAAGCAGAAAAGTCTCTAGTGAGACTGAGGGACGGGCTCTTCTTGAAGGACTGGCTTTATTCAGAGCCAGGTAGTTAGTGGTCCTGTTTCCTGCATAGGAGGATGAGGGGCATCTTTCTCACCATCCCTGTGCTGGGCTTCGGAAGGAGGCAGGGCAGCTATGGATATCTATTAGATGCTCAGCCTCAAAGCATGTTGCCAACTGGAGGGAAGGGAGGGCCAGATCTTCCACAGGGTGTGGCTATGTCAGGCCAGGCTAAGCACTGGAACCTTCAGTGTTCACATTTCACAGCATCCCTATAAATTAGGGACCATCAATCTAATGTCACTAAGGAGTTAGCAGTTGAACTGTTCAAGATCACCCAGCTAGCAGGTAGCACTGAAGGGATGGAAGCCCAAGCCTCCGAGAAGCAAAGCCCACAGCAGCGTCAGGATGGTGACCTGACATTCCTTTCCAATCTCTTGTGAGGGTGAGTAGGCTGGTGCCATTGCACAGGCATTTCTAGCCATACTTCTCATGGCTGATGATGTGCCCAGCAGGCCCTTCACAATCTTCCAGCTCATACCAGGCTGGGGGCAGCTCTACACTCTAATACGATCTGTACTTCACTCTCATGCTATAATACAGTATGAATTCAAGGCTGAGCTATCAAGCACCCTTCTCCACACCGTGCTGCTCTGCTCCCTCTTCTGCCAGGCTGGCTCTGCTCTGGATAGCCCTGTATCATTCCTGCTTGACTGGAGCTTTTCCATGCAGGACTGGTGTTCAAAAGGCTTTGGACCCAATATTTCCTACCCCAGTACTCCATCTAAATTGGGTATTTCAATTTAGAAACATCCTCTTGGAGATGATAATGCCAGTGTTAGTTACGTAGATGAGAAAATGGAACTTAAGGGATGTTTCCCAGGTCGTAACATGGTCTTTCCACACCAGACTCTGCTCTGCTCCTTAGTCAACTGAGTGGGGATACGCTGTCTGCCATCTAGTGTTAGTCACCAACTGCAACTGCACTATGCAAAAAGGACGAAAACAAAAAACTCACAAGACAACACGGTGGCTTTTGGAAAGGTACATAGGCTCTTGTTTAATATAGTTAAAAGAGGAACATGTGCAGGGGAACAGGGCACACATGCTTTCCTCAGAGGAGCTCCTGCCTTGTGGCTACCTGCAGTGGCAGCTCTCCTAGTGAGCTTTAAGAGGAAAAGGTTCCTTTAGAGGTATAGATGGATTTCACTACATTCTCCCCATGAACATGTAACTGTGCAAAATAAAAAGGCAATTTATAACACATTAATGAGGAGTAACTACAAATTCAGACAAAGAAATGAGAAGGAAGGGAGAGAAGAGGAGGGGGCATGGGAAAGGAGTCAGGAGGAGGCCTGGTGAAGGGAAGCTCATGTAGGGCTTTCGGAATTAGCCCAAACCTGTGGGACTGTTGGGCCTGGGATATGATGGAATCACTGGGAGATGCTCTTTTTGCTAACTTTGTGGGTTCCCATGTACAAATCCTGTTCTATTGCACTCTCACCAGTGTCATCTAGGCTGCTATTTTTCCCATGAATGGTAAAACTGAGCTCACTGCCTAACCAAGGCTCCCAAACTAGACTCTCATCAGAAACATGGATCTGGTGTTCCCAGAACTGGACTCGACATTCAGAGTGGTGGGAGGATAGTAGACATCCAGGCACCAGCATCTTACCCCACCTGAGACTCTCTAGGATGCCTGGGACCAGAGGCATCTGAATCTGAGGTGGGTCATGGAGTCTGAGGCCCATGGGCACACATGCTGTGCTCAAGTCCTTATGGTCAGCTCAGTTACAGGCCTGTGGACAAAAGAAAAAAATTCCCACTTTACTAATTCAAAACAACTCTGTTATGGCAGGTTCCTGTTTTCACTATCTCTGGTTTATACAGTTCAGAAGCAGTGCACTGCCTTTTATTAGGGAAAGGTGCAGGCAGACTGAGACACAGCAGGAGAAAAGCCAGGGTGGCCACCCTAAATGTCCTGAGCTTAGATAAGCGGGTCTTTCAGCAGGGCTTTGGTGTGGAAAGTAGAGTAGCCCTGTTCTTCCTCCCATCCTCATTTTCTCTACAGCAGGTTCTCTGAGGCAGAGGGTGGAGAGCAGACTAGCAGCATGACTTAGTCTAAGAGGACAGACGCTGTGACAGCCTGGCAGTCTCTCCACTGACTGAAGATCTCAGCACTGAAGTCTGACAAGTTTGCTGAGCACAGTGACTAGACTTCCCTTCCTTCAGGCAGCAGGACTTGAGATTACGGAATCATCTCTCACTCTTTTCAACAAATCCAGGGTTTGGAGATACCACCTTGTCCTCTTCCCATTGGCCCCTACTTTCCCTTGGCTAATTAAGCTTTTAGTGGCAGTGCTCTTCTCTGACTCTCAGCCTGAATCCCTGGGCCAATGTCTGGCCCTCAGAATGAGCCTTGCAGGCCTCTGCTGAACTCCCTGGCAGCCTTGTCTCTCCACTGCTGGGAGGCTGTACCTCTGTGTGTGTGTTCTCTTCCTGTTGGTTTTCAAGATGTGGTAGGCTATGATGAGGGTGGAAGTGGGGAACACGAAAGGAAGTACATTCTCTAGGAATAACTCAAGAGCTGGCAAAGGTAGTAAAAAATTCTGGTTGACAAATCTCTCTGCTCCCTCATGCAAGCTAGAAATACTTATGTGGCTTCTTTGTCAGAGTTTGATGGTGCACAACTACACCCTTATCAGCAGCCAGAGTAGCCGAGTAGCAGCTTTGAGAAGTGTCTGAGTGTAGACCCCTCTGACCGATTTCACAACAAAGCCCTTGTGTTGCCTCAAGGAGTCCATTTGGAGCACTGGAATCCAAGCTAGGCTGGCCCAGGCTCCAGGCTCCAGGCTGAGGGGTGGCAGGAGTCTAGGGCAATCACTCTTAGGTGCAGCCAAGAGAGCTCAGAAGATGGGAGCCCTGGGTTTGAGAAGATGAGCTTTGTCTCTGTGATATGACCTAGTAGATGACAGCTGGGCCAGAGGCAACAAGCCACTAGCTGCAGCTGGCCCTGACTACCTCACAGTGTCAGCTCCATGCTCAGAAGCATCTCGTCCCATGCTGGCTGTGCCTGCAGTGTAGAGCTGGGGACATTTCCTTTAAAGATGGTGGCCAGAAGGCTGCTGTTAAAACATAAATGAGCAATCTCAAGAAATCCTCAGGTTCTAACCAAGGGAAAGGATGGGCTGTTTTCAGAATTCAGGAATCTGACCATCTAAAGATGCTGCAAAGTCTGAGACTCTCTCTTGAGGACCTTTAGAAGCAACCACTGACCTATGTCTTAAGCCAAGTGTTTTGGCCATGAAAGAAAGGACAGAGATGAATGGGAAAGGGACTGGGTTCCTGACCCAAACTGGCATTCAAGATCCAGAAAAAACACCCCACCCACAGTGGGATAGCCTGCAATGCAGCATAGGCCCAAGGGTTTACTCACCTTTACCCTGTCCCTAGCCTGGGTCAGACCTAAAGAAACCACCACTCTTGGAGGATCAGAGTGAAGCTGTCATCTTGCCACATTCTGTGCTCTCATCAGCCAATAATCAGCTGATGTAGCAGATGGGCATCCTGAATTGAGGCTGACTTTGATGTATTAGGTAGGCATATTTGCCAGGATCTCCTTGTGTCAAGAAGAATCAGCCCCACCTGTGGTGAAGGGGGCACTTGAGGGCAAAGAGGATACCATTTATTATCCTTTCACTTCCTCACCTTACCTTCCAGGCCTAGATACCTGCTTGTTTGTGGAGCCATGGACAAGAGGCAGTTCACCACATTGGCACTGGTGATAGAGCCCTCCTAGAATAACACTACCAGTCTATCAGTAATTCCTCTGAGCCCTGCCTAGCAACACCTCCTGTTCTTGCTTATCCTTGTGCCTCTCTTGCTATAGGGAAAGGTTATGTGAATGCTGTACAGGGGTTAATAAAAAAATACATATGCTCTCTTTAAGGAAGAATGCACAAATGCAGGGCCAGCCCAGGCAAGGTCCTAGACCATGGGGCTTCGGCAAGCTTCTGTGGGCCCAAGGCTGATGTTCAGGAGTGGTGGCTACTGATGAGTCCTCGGAGCTGCTTGGCCACAGTGTCAATCAACTTCTGCTTGTCTCGTTCATTTTTCCGGAACTGTGCAAACATGTTGTTCTTGCGACTAGTATCTTTCATCCTAAACAGAGAAGGAAAGAAAAGAGGGCACAGTGTTTGAGGAGGTGCTGGAAGGAGATGCAGGAAGTAGGATGGCAAGATGTACCTTAACCACTACCCAGAGTGGAAGAGTTCAGAATGTTTCTGTCGCCAAGCTACCTACTCGTCATGGAGCTGTCCTTTGGACACATGCTACCTTCCTGATTTCAGCTGCCACTGGTCAAGAGCTAGCGTTGGTGGGACCAAGTCCTTATCCCCCACACTTCCCCCACCTAACTCACCCTTCTGTCCCAGGGTTATGCACTTGCTATAGGAGTCTGAGACATGGTTGGGGTCCACTCATTATTTCATGAGCATGCTGAGACCTTAGAGATGGAATTTGGAAAGTGAAACAGAAAAAAAAAAGGTCTTAAAATTAATTCCAAGAGAACACAAGTCACTGAGAACCACTGTGCATTTCCAAACCCCACTCTCACTGGTTATTTTTCTGCCCCTAACAAATGGAAGGGCCTTATTGGTCTCTATGAGTCTCACGGTTATGGTTGAAAGGCAGTAAGGTAGGCACAGTGCTGAGGGAAGTAGGTGCAAAAGGTATGTTTATCCTCTTAGTTGACAAAGCCAGGCTTTATATATGAGAGACAGTCCAAGCTTTCAATGGCTGTCTACAGCTTCAGACCTTTCCCAAGAGACAGCCTGAACTCTTACTGGCTGTCTATAGCCTCAGACCTTTGCGTCCTGCTAAAGGTCCATAAATGATATTCCTAGAGCACAAATAATAGAGATGGCTCTATCAGATGGATAGCCCTAATGGAGAGGCAGGGTCAAAAAAAGCTAAGACCAGAATGATACACTGTAGAGCCTCCAGGTCTGGCCAAGCTACTGTGACAGAGCCCAGGACTCTGTTCTCTGCAGAGGGCCCACAACCTACAATGCTGATGACTTACTCTGGCCCAACCTCTGCACACTGATCCCAAGCCTACAACTAGACTCAGTGTTAGGGAATCAAGAGGTGTTAGAGAACCAAGGAGCCCAGTACTCCATGGACAAGGTGGGCTGGCTGGCACCTTTGACCCTGGAGTTGGGCTGGCTCTCTGACTCCATTGTCTCATTGCATGCAGATTGGCCAAAAGAGGGTCTGAATTACTCCCAGGAATATTCTGGGCAATCCTGGGCTTTTTCCCTCCCTTGTAAGGCAGAATTCCTCTGAAGAGGGCAAGAGGTAGAGCCCGTGAATAAAAAGGCAGAGATTCTATAAGGGCAACTTATGTCTTGTATATATGGTACATACTAGGTATAGTGCATGCTTTTCTGTGTATATATGTCCACTGGAATGTAAATAGTCCATAAGAGCATTCTATCTGGTAAGGAACTGGAGCTGTCTGGCTCTCTGACAGTGTCAGCCCAAATTGTGACTTTTTTCCTTGGTCTAAGCTCCGAGTAATTCCTTCAGGCTGGAGTTACTCATCCATGGAGCCACTGCCCACATGTGGAGGCCTGTCCTGGGCTGGGAAGGAGGACAGGTGACTGACCTGTGTTGGAGGAAGGTACAAGGTCTCTCAGGGTTCTGGTGAGCACTGTGTTCACTCCCTTGCACACTAGCTGCACAATTATGTTTGTGGAACTGACAGGGCTTTAGATTATTCCAAAGGACTCCCTTCCTTTTGCTGGGTAAGCTATAAATCTAAACAACACAAAACAGGAAACAGGAAACAAAGAGAAGCCCTTTCTGCATTCACAGGACGTTTGGTTCTACTGATGTCATGACTGCTTGCAGCAGTACAGGGACAGGCAGCTTAAGGGGAGGCTCCCATACTCTGTAGAAGGGAAGAGCCCAGAGGCAAGGATTTTTTGATCATTGAAGCCTATAGTTAGGATCAGACTCTCAGGTGCTCTGAAGGATGATGGCTGCGTGATGGTTTATATGTGGGGATGTACCAAACTCAAGGCTGGCTGGCCTAAGGTACCAGCTGGCAGTGGGGAAAGGGAATGGGTCAGGAGAAGGGAAAGATTCTTTTGAGGCTAGAAGATGTGGATTTCATTGGCCCGGGTGGCCTTTGCCTTTCAGCAATGGAGAGAAAGCTTTTAACCCCACTGACTGGCTGGGGCTCAGCACACAGCTTTGTTATAGGATAGGCCAGAATGGAGAGACCTCACCAATTGCCCTAGCCTAAGGAAGGGTAGAAAAGGATCCCTAGAGAAGTAAGTGACTGAGTACCAACTCAAAGGTGGCAATTTCCACTAGTGAAGAGAACTGTAGCCCCAGGTCGTGCCCTTGATGAGGAATTTTCCTGGTAGATGTGAGTTCTAGAACCTAAAGTCATGAGCCTCCTCCTCAGGAGGCTGCTGAAGAGCGATTCTGTCATGGATGAACTGCAGGCCCCACTCCAATACGTGCGCCAAGCATACCAGGAACCTGAGTGGGAGTCATTCTTTCCCTGGTGCTGATGGGAAAAGTCCTTGCCACCATTGCTGGCCCCAAAGGAATTAGTAAAGCAAGGGTCGCTATAAGGATCAAGGAAAGAGGAGGTACCCAGCCAAGTGATACAGGCTGGTTTAGTAGATTAGTTTGTTAGGGTGGAGACAACTCACAGGGTAGGGATTTTGGTTTAGTTATTAGTGACAAGGAAACCAGAAGGACTTGCCTCAAAGTGATGGAAAAGGCCCAAGTGAGCAATATACTTACTCTCTAGATATCCTAGAGAAAAAAAGTCATTGGGAGAGAGAACCATGGAAGAAAGTTAACACAGAAGCATCAGTCCTCAGCACATCTCTAGGCTTTAAATATACAACCCAGTATCCTGCTCTTGCCTACCCTTTACCTCTACCTTCTCACCCTCTATCATTGTGCACTGTAAGAAGGACATATCTCATTTTTTTCTTTCTGTCTAAGGCTCTATTCTGGCCTCCTAGACACCAGGCCTTGCTTTGCTAGGGTTGGAACATGCTTATAACTGCCCATACATGTATATTTTATATACTGAAAGCTCTCTTGTGTCTAGGCATTCCAATTGTGCCTGAAAAGACTCTAAACATGGATTTTGATCTCTGGCCTGCCAGCTATCAATTAGGTTAGCAAAAGCCAGAGCCTGGCTGCAGTGCATGCCAGATGCCAACATCTACATGACAAGTTGGTTAGCTTTGAGATGTTCGGAGCTGGATAGCCCAGTTCAGTGAGACTATACCTGTAAGGAGCTCTGCTCTACTCATCAACACAACCCAAGGACTTGGGTAGGTTCCCTCTGCTCACCAGCTTGGCCTGAGTTCCAAACCAAGTTATCTTTCTACCTTTTCTTATCTTCTGTAGTTAAAAGATATTGTTCCATTAAGCTACAAGGCCATGCAGAGTCCCACTCTGGCCTGTACTTGTAGTTTGCTAGAGCTCAAGAATTAAGAAGCTACAAGAAGAAGGCCAAGAGCTAAGAGCTAAGATCATTGCTGAGAGCAATGATCGAGATGGCTGACAGCACCTATGGTAGCTTGAAGAACAAAGATGTTTCTCAAGGTAGTGGAAACAGGAAACAACCTTGTTTACCACCCATATCCTGCTGCCCACCTCCCCACACAGAGCACTGGGCTGGCTACTCACTTCTCAAGCAGGGTCAGAGCTGTCACTGGGTTCACCCGGAGGTACTTGCAGTTGGGCTGTCCGTAGTCAGCAAGGTATGTGGACCAATCCCACTGAATGAAGAGGTCCAACAGCTGAAAAATACCCCAATCCCCACACCAAGGATTAACCAAACAGACAAGAAAAACCAGGATCCTAGAAATCCCAACATCCTTTACTACCAGCTAACAGAAAAACTGAAACAAATGTAATAAAAGGACGGACAGCTACAGATCATGGTTACAAGTAAAAGAAAAATAGAAATAAAAAAGGAATAAACATCAGAAGATAGAGAAATCACTGCCACAAATGTAGTTCCATTGCTGAAACCACATACTAGCAGCAGGCCTCAGAGGCTAGTCTGTGAAAAATTAAGACTAGACTGATCTAAAATCTCAGAATAATCACTCACTTACTCATTCAATAAATGCCTGTCATATGCCTTCCACATACCAAGCTCCACTTGTGGAGCTCAAAATTCAACAATGAACAAATGAACAGGGAGCAGTTAGTGAAGCCAGCTTCGCCTCATCTAACACTGATGCTATCCATGTGGATTCTGTGGACTGACCCAGTATCTTGGACAGCCTTGTTGCTGCTTTTCCACTCTTCCACGGGGTTTGGAATCAGGAACTATATTTAGTTGCCAATGTCTCTGTAGTCTTTAATCTGGGATATTTCCATAGCCTTTTTCCTTAAATGATATGATATTGACACTTTTGAAGACTATAGACTCCTGCCTCTACTGCTCCCTTCAGCTTTATCTGATGCCTTTTCCTCAGATGCACAACATGCATTCCCAGAGAGAATACAACACAAACAACAAAGTATCCTCCTCTGGGGGTCACATCTGGAAGCACCCAGTGCTCCTCTTTCTCTCACTGGTGATATTGGTTTTGATTACTTGTCAAGATGTCTGATTTTTCCACTATTTAGTTATGAGGTTGTCCTTTGCAAATAGCAAGCAATTGGGGAGAACATTTAAACCCACATAAACACATTGTTCCTGATTAGAATTTCTCTTTATATATTTAGCATCCAGTGAAGACTTGTGCTTCACACAGACTTCTATATTGGTTACAAACTTAGGATATCCCAACACCTTTCTTCCCTCCACATTGATGAGCTGCCATTCATTTTGCTATTAGGGGGTGCTCTTCCTCCCCCCACCATGTGTGGATTTAGTATTGGTATGGACTCTTGGGCTCTCACTTTCAATGCTTATGCTCATTACTCTGCACTCTGTTTTGAGACGCAGACTGTCCCCAGCTTCGGCAAGTATGAGTTTCTTTAAGTTAGAGCCTGTGTTCCTGTGTTGTCCCCATAATTGTAGCTTTCTGGTTGTGGACTCATATTTAACCAGTTCAGCACTGAGACCAGTCATTTCTTTGAGAAGAAAATTATTTTAATGGGAACACAATGGAAATTGGGATTTGGGTGCCGTGTGCTCTCACTGCTACTGGAGTATCTCTGTTCGCTGCTACTTGGGGGGGGGGCAAATTACAGGAAGCTAAGCTCTTTCAACACATGAGCTGAGAATAATTGTATGTAGTAAATATGCATTTGCATAGACATACATATCTTAAAAATCCCAAGTCCACACCACATCTCCAGGTGTAACCATTGCAGTGCTCTCTTTTATCTTCCTTGGTGAGAACCTGGCTCTCAACATCTTCATCTCATTTGCTCAACCTTAAATATATCTAAATGTGTTCAGCATTGTGTACATACCACCAAAACAACAACAAAGAAACCCAAAGCAAGTCAACACGGAGCTCAGGATCGGTTTCCCATTGTCCCTTCCACCATCAAATGCTGTGTTCATAAGTCACTTGGATTGATCCCCTTCGATGTGGTTACAGTGTTCATCTAAGTGCATTTGGGTTCAGTTTTTCTCATTTGCTTTTAAGATACTCTTCCTTCCTATCCTTGATGATTTTTTAAAATGTGTAGAACATTAGCATTCTTCAAAAGTCAAAATCACAAAAAGGTTAACCTTCATTGTTCCCCTTTCACCTCAGTTCCTCCTGTGCCACACTGGCAGACAATGCCATTGCTTTTAGGGTGTTCTTCTATTTGTGAAGATAAGCAGATGCATGTATGCTTTCTTATTTCTCCTTTCTTTTTCCAGAAAGTAACTGCCACATGCACCCTTCAGGGAATCTTCCTTCTTAAAATGACAGGTAGAACATGGATGGAAGAGATGAAAGGAGAGCTAACTTAAGATTACTGTTTCCCAAATGTCATTAACCTTCACAATTTTGACTATAACTGCAAGCTACCAGTGTCAAGTCTACCTACGTTTTTCTTTGTGCTGACTTGTGTTTTAATCATAAAAATGTAAAAGCTCACTTTACATCACCATCACTACTGGCAAAAACTAATCCAGAACTTGCATACTAGTACCACAGAGACGGCATTATCATCAGGGAGACAGAAAACAGCTTTTCCACTAGCTCTAGTGCAAATCTGTGTATCATCTCAGCTGCCTGGAACATCACTGTTGTGGTCTTCTGCACCTCCAGTATCCATCCAACCAATGTTTTAGTGTTAGTCTGTGAACCAAGAGCTGAGTGATAACTGTGTGTGCAGGACAGAATTGAGTGGCCCATGTGTACCAAGAAGAAACTGGAAAAGAAGTTCCTTCATCACAAGGGACCAGAGCACATGTAGGCCATGTGCTGGCTAGGAGGTCCACAGCTAAGGGTTTGGTGAAGCTGGATGTGTTGGTCAGCCATATGGATGGTTTATAGAGGGAAATAAACTAGACCTTCCTCCTCATTCTTCTCATACTAGCTTTCCCAAAATGAACTTGTGATGGTTTTTACCCACTTGTCAGAACATTGCTAAAATTCTTGATTCTGTAGGTGCTGACTTGTAACAGAATTTACATTTATTTCTATAAGACTTGAAACAAATAAATGAAATAGTTTCCCTAGCTTGGATTGTTTTAATAAAGATGTAAACGTGCTGAATTCTGTTTTTTAAAGGTTTAAAGTGTTATTAGAAAATTCATAGTAAAATAAAAAAGTAATTACCAAGAACAATAATGGTATTATCTCATTCAGCATATCCAAGAAATCTGTTTTATGTCCAGTATCCACTGCACTAATAGTTAATGGAATAAAAATGGAATTTCAACTCTCATAATCTCTGCCCAAAAGGGATAACATTATTGGACTCTTATGAGATGCAGAAATGGTTCCTTTTACATCAATATGCAGAAAGTTCAATTCACTTCTAAAGTTTTAAAAGCATCAAATATATGCAAAGAATTGGGCTGCATCTTTCAGGTAATCTTACAATGAGTAGTCTTCTATTAGACAGATAAATAAAAGAAAAACATGAATAACTAACCCAAGATAAATTAGTCAAGTGCCATTGAATAATATACTGACTGTTTCTCTTTTGGAACTACCGGCTGAAAACACTGCAGTTTCCATTTGTTATTTATTTGTTTGTTTGTTTATTTATTTATTATTTGTGTGTGTGTCTTTTTTGAGACAAGGTCTCCCTGAGCCCTAGCTGGCCTGGAACTCACTATGTAGGCCAGGCTGGCCTTTATCTCAGAGAGACCTGCCTGCCTCTATCTCCTGAGTGCTGGGATTAAAGCATGTGCCACCATATATAAATATAAATTGTGGTACAGAAAACACACTCAGACAGAGTTTATTCTGGTGATTGGGTAATGCCACAAAGATGATGTGATCATTTATTCAATGTCAAGTAATAGAATGCTTACATATTTTGTCATAGAGTTCAGAAGTTACTTGCATTTCCAACATCAGTAGCAGATTTTGTTTTCTTTTTTTTCCTTTAAATAATTTATTGAGATTTTCATACAGGCATATAAGCATATAAGGTGTTTTGATCAAATCCATGCCCACTTCCTCTCTTCCAACTCCTCCCATATCTCCCAGATTTTGTTTTCTTAAAATACTTTTATTTTGAATGATTAAAAACTACGTAAAAGTTACAAAGAAAGTCTAGATGTTCTTCTGCCCCCATTAGCTAGCCTTTTTGTGTTTGTGGTACTGGTGATTAAACTCAGGGCTAAGCAAGCGCTCTATCACTGAACTACCTCCCCAGTCCTACCTGATTTCTTTAATATCTGGTGTTATCACTACAGCACAGCTGTCAGAACCAAGAACTTAAATTCATATCAACTATAACTTTGTTCCAGTGCCATCAAGTTCTCCTTCAACATTCACTTTCTGCTCCAGATTCCAATGGAATGTTCCACATTGTGCTTGGTCACATGCTTTCTTAGTCTTTCAATCTGTTACTATTCTTTGGTACCATCTTTGTGACACTACCCAATCACCAGAATAAACTGTGTGTGTGTGTGTGTGTGTGTGTGTGTGTGTGTGTTCTGTACCACAATTTGTATTTGCTGCTTACAAACAGAAACTGCAAGAGTCGGGCATGGTGCCACATGCTTTAATCTCAGCTATTATTTTTTCAAGACCATGGTACTTAATGTCCCTCGATTTGGGTGTGCCAAATATTTTTTCATGATTGGAGTGAAGCAAAAGTTCTCAACCAGCAGACAGTTTTGCCTCTGAGGGCACAGGCGTGTCTGGAGATAGTTCTGGTTGTCATGGGCTGGGGTGGTGGTAACACTGGTATCAGGGGGTAGAGTTCAAGGATTCTATAAAACATCTTACAGTACAAAAGGAAGACATCATACAATAAAAGGTTATTGAGTCCAAAACATTAATAAGGTTAAGGTGTCCTGGATTGAGGTTATACATTAGGCATGGTGGGGGAGGGGGGAGGACAACCACAGAAGTATGACAACATTATTTTAAAAACTTTACATTTATTTTTGATGTGTGTGTGTGTATGTGTTTGCGCATACACATGTTCATATGCACACATATGCATCATGGCGTATATGTGGAGGTCAGAGGACAACTTGTAGGTTTCTCCTTCCATCATGTGGTCCCAGGAATCCAACTCAGGTGGTCAGACTTGGTGGCAAGCACCTTTCCCCACTGAGCAATCTTGCTGGCCTCTATTACATTATTTAATGCATCAAGTCATGGAGACATGATGACCATGCCTCTCCTTCCAGGCAATGTTAATATTAACT